GGACGGTTGGATAGATGGCCGGATGGCCGCCTGACTGGCCGTCCGTCCGGATGGATGGATGGATGGGTGGGCGGCCGGCCGGCCGGTTGGATAGATAGATATTGGATGGCTAGTGGACGGCTGAGTGGCTGCACCGCCGGCTGGATGGCCGCCTGAGTGGCCGGATGGATGGACGGTTGGATAGATGGCCGGATGGCCGCCTGACTGGCCGTCCGTCCGGATGGATGGCCGCCTGAGCGGCCGTCCGGATGGATGGATGGACGGCTGAGCGGCCGGCCGGCCGGTTGGATAGATAGATATTGGATGGCTAGTGGACGGCTGAGTGGCTGCACCGCCGGCTGGATGGACGGCTTAGCTACCTACCGCGGCTCACTGCACCCCGAGTCCGGGACCGTCCTCCGCAATCCCCCCGCGGCTTCATTCTAACCGCCGCCGGGCGACTCCGAGCGCCTCTCGAGGCGTTGGCGTCGCCCGGAGGGTCGTTTGCTCCCCGCCGCCCTCGCCTCGCCCTGCCACTAGAGGAGGGGCATTGGCCCAAGCGAGCCGGGAGAAGACCGGGCGGGCCATGGGGGAGGTCTCGCAACGGGGGCAGAGAAGACCGAGGGGCTCCTCCGTTGGGGATTGCGATCTTCCCCGATAGCAATTCTCGCTGGAATCGGTCCAGTAATCCCAAAGGTTCTTTTTCAGGAGGGAACTGGTCTTTCTTGGGGTTTTTTCCTTTTCTTTTTGAAGACGTTTCGCTTCTCATCCCAGAAGCTTCTTCGGCTCTGACTGGATGGCAGTGGGGAATGGAAGGATTGATATTCCTTGCAGACAGCTGAACATTTGCACCCTTTTAGAGGGTCGTTGAAGCCATAGATCCCCTAAATCCACTTCAAGGACCCTCTAAAAGGATGCAAATTGTCAACTGTCTGTCCCACTATCCTGTCGGAGTTGAAGAAGTTTCTCGGATGAGAAGCGAAACATCTTTAAAAAGAAAAAAACAACAACAAGGAAGTCCGGTTGCCTCCTGAAAAAGCACCTTTGGAGCAACCAAGACCTGGAGAATCTCTACAGAATCTGCGGAGTAGATTCCAGGAAAGTGGACAGGAGGAGGGAACGGGTGGCCACTCCTGTTGTGGGAATCTGACCGATGGTGGCTTGTTTGTCCACTCATAACCAGCCTGATGGGTGCTTCGGGGGCCCAGTTAATTTATAAGCCGTGGTTTGTGATCTGGATCCATAAACAAACATAAATATGCAACCGAATGAATTTGGAGAAGTTGGCTCATTCTGTCCTATTTTAACGTAGAGGCCCACAAACACCTGCATATGAAGCCCTCTGGAAGATCGTCCCTGCTTGCTGAGGATGATGGGCGTTGCATTCCACGCGTGGCAACTGGTTCATATTTACGACATGACAAGCAAAGTCAAACAAGGAAGCCCAGGTTCACTTCAGAACCGCGTTGCTAAATTAACAATTGCAACGCCTCCCTTAACAACAGTGGCAAGAAAAGCCGTAATACAGGGCAAATCTTACTTCACCAATGTTTCACTGAGCAGCGTAAATGTTGGGCCCGGTTGGGGTCGTAACTCGAGGCCTGCCTGTCTATGACTAAGAGAGAGTGGGGGGGGGGGCAGAGAAAGAGAGCTGAGGGAAAATGGTTATCAAAAACATTGCGGTTTTCTCAAGGTGAAGTAATTCAAACCCAGACTTCTGTCTCTGGGAATTTCCACCAGCCTAGAGAAGTTGCAGATTTGAACACATTCGCCCCTCTTCCTCCATTTCTGCTGGCACAAACATTGCAAAGCACAAGGTTGCGGGTTTTCCGTAAGCCCTTCAGAAAAGATTTAAGTGAAGAGAAAACAAAAGCCATGGCCCCACTTGAAGATTTCACAACAAAGGCTTAATGATATTTGGGGGAATTTTTTTTTATTTTTTTATTTTTTTTGCCTTCAAATGGGAATTATTCCAGTGAAGAGACCAGACTGAATAATTCTGGCCCGATTAAACATGCTTTTTAGGAGAGCCTCAGTCGGCAAGCTAAAAATAATTAAAATGAGAAATTATGTGCCGGATGATGCCGGGCGTTTTAACTGCCTCACCACACAAAAGTCACCACTTCCTTGTTTTGATGAGAGAGACAAAACAAGTTTCTCTCTCTCTCTCTCTCTCTCTCTCTCCTCTTTTTCTGTCTCCCTTCCTCCCTCTCTCTTTCTCTCTCCCTCCCTCTCTCTGTCAGTCTCTGTCTCTGTCTCTCTCTCCCTCCCCCTCCCTCTCTCTCTTTCTCACCCTCCCTCTCTTTGTCAGTCTCTCTCTCTCCCTCCCCCTCCCTCTCTCTCTTTCTCACCCTCCCTCTCTTTGTCAGTCTCTCTCTCT